CGTAATTTGTAACTTCCACTTTTCCATACTTGGTGAATAAGATAAGGTCCCGACCATTTTTCTCTGAACTTATCTCCGTGTACATTTTCATGGGCACTCTCCCGTAATAAAACTTGTTCTCCTATCTGATATTGTTTTGGTTTCACTTTCTTATCATACCTAGCCTTCTGATCTTCTTGTGCTTTGTTTATATTTTCTTTTGCAATACCTTGTACATGATGTAATCTTTCTGTTATCAGATCCACATGGTCTTCTAAATCGTATTCTAAGTCGTTATCTTCCATTCCAAATTTTTGTGTAAGTGGTGTTTGTGCCTGTCTCCCGTACACAAGAAAGAATGGCGTAAACTTTGTTGATTTCTGTGTTTTAGTTCGATAAGCTAATAGAGCTGACGAAACGTATTGGTCCCATTCTCCTTTGTGTTGTATCACAAATTTAGCGATAGTTTCACACAGTGTTTTGTTAAACCTTTCGGTCAATCCATTTGTCTGTGGGTGATATGATGTGGTGAGTACATGATTAATTTCCATGGTTTCGCATAGTGCTTTTATTGTACTATTAACAAATGATGTTCCTCGGTCGGATAGTAATTCACTTGGTGTTCCATGTCTACAAATTATATCTTCATAGATAAATTGGGCAACTGTTTCTGCTTGTATATTTTGAATGGCCCTTGCTTCCGGCCATTTGGTGAGGTAGTCTGTTGCTACTATTATATAGCGATTTCCTTTTGATGTTATTGATAATGGTCCTACGATATCTATTCCTACCTGTTCAAATGCTCGTCCAACCAGTATGGGGTGGAGTTCATTTGACTTCTTCTTATTTCCTAATCTTTGACATGTGTCACAACTCTTCACATAATTTTCTACTTCTCTATACATTCTCGGCCAATAATAATTTTGCTTGGCCCTATTGAACGTTGCTTCCACATTAAAATGTCCCGATAATTGACTTCCATGTATATTAAATAGTACTTCTTCTAACTCATTCCTTCTTATAACTCTCTTTTCCATATCATTCTTTATCCAAAATAATTTTCCATTTTTAAGTGTGAATTCATGTATTTTCTTTAGTGTAGTTTGTTGAATATCTGTTGGTACATTGCTTGGTAATCGATGGTTTGTTAAGTAATATTTTATTGACTCGTATAATTGAATATCCATTAGTGCCTGTTTTCCTTTTAGTGACCCTCTTAATTAGTCACACAGTTTATAGACTTGTTGGTCTGTAATCTTGACAAAGCATCTACATGACCTTGGGCACGTCCTGGATTATATTCAATTTTAAACGAGTATTGTTGTAAGTGTACAAGCCATTTCTGCATTCGATTATTTAAAGCAAGTGTACTAAATTGATATTTTAGCGGTTGGTGATCTGTTATTATAGTAAAAGGTTTTCCAAGCAAGTATACATGAAACTGGTCTGTGGCCCATTTTACGGCCAATAATTCTAACTCCGATGCTGAGTAATTCCGTTGTGCTCCTACTAGTGTTTTACTAGCATAAGCAATTACCCCTATCCTTCCTTCATCATCTTCTTGTGCTAAGATGGCTCCTAGTCCAAGCTTGGATCCATCTGTTGAAAGTATAAATGGTTTATTGAAATCTGGGTGTCTCAAAATTGGTTCTTTTGTTAAAAGCTCTTTCAGCTTTTCGAATGCTTCTTGACAATCCTTAGTCCATTCAAATTGTATATCCTTCTTTATTAGTTTAAACATTGGTAGTGCTTCTTTTGAGAATCCGGGCATAAACTTCCTGTAATAGGATGCTAGTCCTAGGAATGATCTAACATCTTTTACTGTTTTTGGTGTTGGCCAATTTCTAATTACTTCAACTTTTGCTGGGTCTGGCTTTTTGCCATCTTTCCCAATAATATGCCCTAATAGATGTAATTCTGGTTTTGCAAACTCACATTTTTCTCTTCCTAATTTTAGGTTTACCGCTCTTAATTTATCAAAAACCTTCCTCAGATGTTGTAAGTGCTCTTCAAATGTATTCGAGTATATGGTTATGTCATCAAGGTATACGTTCACAAATTTCCCTTTATAATCCTTAAAAACTCTGTCCATCATTCTTTGAAATGCTGCTGGTGCATTGGTTAGTCCGAATGGCATTACTGTGAATTCATACAATCCATCCTCTGTGATAAAAGCTGTTTTCTCTTGATCTTCTTCAGCAACCTTCATTTGCCAATATCCACTCATGCAGTCCAAAGT